CGAACCAGCCCCACCCCCCTCAGCCTCTCCTTGTAGGAGAGATGTTCCAGTCCCCTCACCATCCTTGTAGCCCTCCACTGGACTCTCTCCAAAGAGCTTGAATCTATCTGAAATTTTTTTTTTTAAAAACCACCATAAATTGAAATTAGGGTTTTTAGTGGCTCCTCATGGACAGTGCCAGAAAATGAGAGAACAAAGCTAGTACAAATTTCTTCAGATGTTCATCGTAAAAGCTATCTAGATACATTCAGAAAGAAGTCTGCATTTCTCTAGATCCTACCAAAAAAGTTCTGAGTGTGTGTTCCCTACGCTGCCCTGTCATTGAGGTTTTTTGCAGCTGACTCATGCTCTGAAGAGATCAAAGTCAGAGAGAAAAAATGAAATACTGTATTTTACACTTTGTCTTCCCTGGCAGGTTGCCTGAAAGATCTTTTCAAATGGGCTGTTCCTCTTGCAGATCACTCTGTAAAATGTTTGATCAAACACGATACTTGTTACTGCAGAAAGGGAAGGAAGTTTTATCAAAAGAGCAAGCCATCTGTCCCCCCGAAAGCCAGGCAGCTACAGTGCCCAGGAACCTCGGCAGCAATCAGGACAGCAGGGCAGCATGGTCAGGAACATTACTTAGAGCAAAACATTAATTGTACCACTGCAGAAGTATAGCACCCTCATAAAAAGTGGATTTCAAGTGCCACTCAGCTGACACAACGGGCTTGAAGTAGAGGAGAGCTCTTCAAAAATTTGATGAAACTAAGGAGGAATTTGAACTCTACTTTTAGCAATGTAAATGCAAATTAAAACATAAAAAGCTCCCCCTGCTCAGCTGTGATTGAAATGTGACATATTCAAAATTCAGGAAGCTTTTTTTGGGTTGTTAGCAGCACAGACTTAGGAAGAAGAGTGTGCAATAGCAGCTGAAGAGCCCTCTGCTGAAATCGGCACAGTGGAGCAGAGCGAGCATTCCTACCTCAAGCAACAGGGCTGCAGCATCCACCTGGGAAGGTGGTTGTATTGGTACATTCGATGCATATGGTTTATAGCACCTGTCTTCTCATTTGATTGGAAGAACCTATAACTCTGACTTATATTGGACACGGAGATTAGTAAAGCAGTGTAGTAACCATCGTTACAAATTATTTTAGGATTCTGTAATTATAAACAAATGAGAAAGTCTAAAAGCCTGAATTTTTAGAAACAGTGGGTTTGATAATTATAATAATCTTTTAGGTACTTATTCCCTAAGGAATTACATCATTATTACTCCACAGCCTACAAATGAGCTACCTCTGTCTTTCTACAGAACATGGTTCTGATAGTTGACATGACATCAGCAGACACAGAAAATCTATCCATTTGGTACAGTGTCTGATATGTACAAACACAAGTTTTTTTCAGCTTCTCAATTCTTTAGCATCTATAATATAGTTTCTTCTATGTGTTTCCTTTGTCTCTGCATAAGTTAATCTTTTCTTTTCTTTCTTACACCCTTTAGCTAATGCCTCACTGAACTGCAAACATTATTGCAGATAAACCATAGCAAGGTCATTTGGTTAAAAGCAGAAAAGATGAGCTTTGACAGTATCCAGCACATTATTCACAGAAGTTTCTTATAGATGGTTCACTGGACTCAATTTTGTTTAATATTGTCAGTTGTCGTCATTCACATGTTTCGCTGATTTTTTTTTCTAGGTACACGAAAATGAAGACTGCCACCAATATCTATATTTTCAATCTTGCACTGGCAGATGCCCTAGCAACAAGTACTCTGCCATTCCAGAGTGTGAATTACTTGATGGGAACATGGCCATTTGGTACCATCCTTTGTAAGATAGTTATATCCATAGACTACTACAATATGTTCACCAGTATCTTTACACTCTGCACCATGAGTGTGGATCGCTACGTAGCTGTTTGCCACCCAGTTAAGGCCCTTGATTTCCGTACCCCCAGAAATGCTAAAATTGTCAATGTCTGCAACTGGATTCTTTCTTCTGCCATTGGCCTGCCAGTAATGTTCATGGCAACTACGAAATACAGGCACGGTAAGTCTGTCTTTCATTCCTAAATTGAGTATTTCACTGTTTAAACTCCTTTCTGCATTGCTTCATTCTACTGTAGAGGCACTGAATTAACTCCTGACCTCCAGTCTGTATACAGCAGGTGTCAGCACGCATGGACCCCTTCAGCAATTTTGCATACGGCTGTAGCTGACTGGACACAGCACTGCACGTGATGTGTCTTGTACAGCAGGCAGCTCCAGCTCCTTCTGTGGGTCTGTGCGAGTCTCACTGCCCCGCACAGGTGCTGTAGTGTTCGGAAGAACATCTGTGCCTGCCTGCCTGCCTTCTGCTGTGGGGTGGTTACGCACTGTGCTACAGCACAGAAGCCCGTGCTTTACCCAGGATACTCCCATGGAAGGTGGCAGTCATAGGTATGTTGCACCTGGCAAGGATATGATACAGCGCAGAGAGCACATTCTGGATCACTGGTGCTCAGAGACCTTCCATGAACTGACAGGGTCTCAGCATAAATCCAAACACTCCACTGGGCAGTTACGAAGTGTCATGTCACTCTCTTCCCCATTGCCCTGAAATGCTCAAACTCTCAGCAAATATGGTGGTTGTCATCTTTATTTCCACCACATTTTATAGTGAAAGTGAAAATGAGTCAAAGTTTAAGCATTTATGACAATTCAGTTCTTTTTCTTGTCCAATATACATGCAACTCCAAGCAATAAAATGCAAAACAGAACATGTTACTTCACTTTTGTTTTTCTACCTCACACTTCATACATATTCTGCAGCACTGTGTTCTTTCAATGTTTGTGCTGATGAGAGGTCACAAGTTGCTTCATTTTACTTGTTTGCTTAGTATATCTTCGTATATTTGTTTGTGATTGTTAACAAAAGAGGTTTAAAGAAAAGCAAATGAAAAACTGACTCGCTTGTTCTTCTGTGCTGTTTTCCTTTTTCTCCAGGCTCTATTGACTGCACGCTTACGTTCTCCCACCCTGCATGGTACTGGGAGAACCTCCTGAAAATCTGTGTGTTCATCTTTGCCTTCATCATGCCAGTGCTGATCATTACCGTGTGCTACGGGCTGATGATTTTACGCCTGAAGAGTGTTCGCATGTTATCTGGCTCCAAAGAGAAGGACAGGAACCTACGGAGAATAACAAGGATGGTTCTTGTAGTGGTGGCGGTGTTTATTGTCTGCTGGACTCCCATCCACATTTATGTCATCGTTAAAGCGCTGGTCAACATCCCAGAAACTACTTTCCAGACTGTCTCCTGGCACTTCTGTATTGCTCTAGGGTATACAAATAGCTGCCTGAATCCAGTCCTTTATGCATTTCTAGATGAGAATTTCAAAAGGTGTTTCAGAGAGTTCTGCATCCCCACTGCCTCAACCATTGAGCAGCAAAACTCCACCCGAGTCCGACAAAACACTCGTGACCATGCTTCCACTGCCAACACTGTGGACAGGACTAACCATCAGGTATGACTAGCAGTGGAGATGTCATCTCTGGATCCAGGCCTTCCGCTTGGAGATGACATGTACTCTGAAGTTACAGTTTATACCGATTTGTAGCTATTTGAAGGTCTAAACACCTTCAGCATTATATTTGAAACTGGTGTGTGCATACACAGAGACCCCAGTCCTGCATGGTGCTAGTTGTTCTCTAGTTGATGCTTAGAAGCTGAGGGCTTTCAAAGGAACCTTGCACGACTGGGTCTAGCATGCATGCATATACACAGCACACAACATAGATTTTCATTCGGAGGATGTTTACAACAGGTGACTGCTTTAGATCTGGTTGGAGATTAATCACAGATTTCTCTATTCATACTCCTTGTCTGCTGACAGACAGGAATGGGACAGAATATAGATCTCTCTTCTTCTCCCATTCAACAGTGAACAAAAAAGAGAAGAAACTGTGCTTGTACACTTCTGATGGATGTACAAAGAAGGCCTACCTGGCCTTGTTTGTCTTGGAAGACATGCAAGAATTAGACAAAGACTCGTCTGCATGCAGTTCTTGTATCAGATAATTGTCTGTGTTGGCTAAAGTGGGTTTTGAGATACATATATACAAAATATACACACATTAAGGAGAATTGTGCCATATAAGTTGTACTGAGAATCTACCTCTTCCATGTAGAAAAAGCCTTTGAGAAGTAGGGATTTTATGGCACAGCAGATACGAAGAGAAATAGATTTTTTTTTTATTCAGGCAATTTTTGCTTGGCTTTTGCAAGGAAGCTTGTTTGTTACACGTTCAACATCCATGTTCTTGTGATTAGTCCTAAGAATTTCCAATCCCCATTCCTCAGGAACATCAAGCAAAACATGAAGGCAAATCGTAACATTCAAGGAAGTAACTCAAGTGCATCACAGGCACTAGAAAAAGTTTGAGTCATCTCTGTAATTTGTTAAAAAGACTCCTAAAGTCATAAGCCTAGTTCATTCCTTGCCATATCACCTTTCAGCAATATGCTTAGATTGCTCCTGCACCAGTTTCTCACTGCTGCCACTTCAGCCACAAGCTAGCTGCCTCCTCGAGGTGCAGAAGTCACTGGCTTCTTGTGAAAGCAGCTGCATACCTGCCATCCAGCTGCTGCCAGAAAGCCCAAAGCATAACATTGCCGTCTCCAAACAGACAAAATAGTAATTGCACCAGCAAAGAGGAGGGAGCAGTCTAAAGGGAGAAGGGCTAAAGGGAGACGCTTTATTAAGCATCTGCAGTTAGTGGTGTTGTGCACCAGCATCTGATTCATACGTGCCAAACTGTAGCCTGTGAAATCAGTTAGCACCTGCTCAGTCTTACATTTTCTTTGGTGGTCGAGCAGAACTGCCAGACTTGGCATAGGCACATACATATATGTGTGTATGTATATACATGTAGTATTTACTAGGTGTAGCAAAAATTTATTAGACAGATTCAGCTGTTAATAATGCATTTGTAACCCTCAATGGAGTCAATTTTGTGCATGTGTCTGACAACAGAATTGTATTTATATCTAGTACAATTCCAACTTTTTACAGTGCAATGTGTATGCACACATTTTCTACATTTAGTTATGTACCTTTATATTCTTTTTAGGAGAGCTGTAGCCTTCTAAACTTCTACCCTTAGCAAAGATTAAAGTGGTACTGCCCAGACACTGAGTGAAATAAAGTCTGTTTCCCTGGGCACTGAGCAAGCACAGAATATAAGATGATCCTGCCCACATAGATCTTTCAACCTACACCAACAAGCAAAAGCCAGCTGAGGCAGGGATAGACTAAGCAGTTGAAGTGAGCTTTATAGTGGCAATAAGGAGGAAGCGAGTCTCATAGGTGGGTCCTTTGCTGGTTTGGGGTTTTTTTCCTTCAGGGAAGAGTGATGAAATTAGTTGAGAAGAGATAAAGCATATGTAAAGAGAAGTGGAGGGGAAGATGCTGACGGGAAAGGGAGGCGAGAGGAAGAGTGCAGAGGAGAAAGGGAAACGTGAAGAATGAGGTCTGAGTGAGGCAGTAAGGAAGGAAACTGAAGCAAAGAGCCAATACACACAGAACAAAAAAAGCATATGCAGACTGTAAGAAATTGTTTGACTACCCAGCTTTGACGATGTTGGTAGCTCTTCCTAGCAACTAGCCATCAGTTTTCCCCAGGACCAGGGAGAAGATGATGACACTTGGAAGCTCATGTCCTCGTAAATGGGTGGATAGGTCTCTTTGCATGGTCTGGTGTTTGAGAGCATTTGAAGTGGCCATAAATGGGCCCAATTTCCGGTCCCGCACCACCTCCCTACAGTCCTTGCTTTGGCAGCTGCTGCCGCTGGTTTATTTCTGCCAGATGTGCTCGCTGGATGCTGACCTGAGCCTTCTCACTGCTGCGCTCCCCGAAGTACAGCACACCAGCCATCGGGTGCAGTCTTTCTCACTGTCTACAAAGTCTATAGAATACATTCACACCAAGCCATGTTCAAACTTCAATATTAAATTTCACTTTTTTTTTTTCCAGCAAACATTTCTGGTAGAGACAATATTTTTGTTGTCTGCTATTATCAGAATGACAGACTAATCTACACTAAAAAGGTTCTCTGGGACAGTACTTAAAATTGTAACATCTAATATTTATTATTATTATTGTTTTTTAAACAGAGAAAACCCTAGGGTGAATGCAGCTTTTGCTCTCAGAAAATAAACTTAAAAAAAAGAAAAAAACCTAAGCAAACCACTGTTTGCTCAAACAATGAGCTTTTGTAAATTCTATTCATAGGACATTCTTTTCACAGGTAAGTGCTTTCTGTACAAGAAAGTCTAGTTAGTATATCTGTATTGATCTAAGTATACTGACAAGCTCTTTGTTGTATAGACGAGGCCTTGGAGAGCATTTGGTATGAATTCTAATTGCAAGGCTGTATAGTACTCGGCACAGTTCAAGTCATTTTCGAGAAACAGATGTTCCACAACTTGCCTTTTTGCCAAGTGAGAATTCTTTACTCCTGCTACAGTTAATGAGAACTGCAAGCACTCAGTCGCTCAACAGCTTAGGGCCTCACACTCGAAACCCTTAAAAATAAACATTCAATGGTAGAAGGAACAACTGTGTTTTTAATCAGTGCAAAAGCAGTAACAGGAAGCATCACAAATATTTGTATTATTCTGAGTTAAGATACTGGCCTTTGGCCTACTTAATGGCTCCTTGGCATTACCATAAAGTTCTTCTAGATTAAGGGTTTGATTATTGTTTTATAAGCATTTACAAGAAGTGGAAGAGCAGAACAAGTTCAGACTTCCTCCAGAAATGTCGCTTCTTTCAAATGCAGAGAGTAGCAGCTGATCCATAACACTGATGGCGTGAGCATTGGTAGAAACAGTACATGCTCGGTAGAGCAACGTAGTTCTGAGGGAGAAAAGACGGTGGCTAATCAGGCATGCAGAAACTGGAAGTGTTGTAAGACTGAGATATTTCAGTCTGTGGGGGAAGCATCCTGTGTTATACTCAACTAACTCCTGCAGTAAAATGCATAGGTTACATTTATTCCAAAATGAGCTTAAAGGCTTGGCTCACTTTAATTTTCAGGCAGGCCTACGCAATCTTATAAGAGCGTTTGCACGAGGAGTTAAAATGAGAGTAGGAGTGATGGAATCCTGGAAAAATTGTTTACAAAGCAGAGCTGCTTACTTTGAACTTTTCACTGTATGACCCAATATTTGTAGGGAATGGTAATAAAGAACCAAATACCAACTTTTGCAAATAACTGAAGTTTTTTTGGTGTCAATGACATTAACCTGATAACAAAGACCTTAACAAATATTTTGAACTAGCTTTTACTTCAGATGCACAAACACTCTGCATTAATTTAGCTCCTAGATTATTGACTGTCTTTTAAAATTTGCAATTCACGGATAATTCTTTTTTCCTGAAAAGTATATTTTCCAAATACCTTTTATTTTTGTTAATATCTGTTAATAACAAAAAAATCCTAAGTACTCAGAAAAATAGATTATTAACAGTTATGGAAGTCTGAGACACTGAATTTGTTTCAGTGAGTTAATTTCTTTGTGACCCATTAAAGTTTTTACAGCAGCCTCACCTGAATGTATCCAAGAAACTAAGCAAATCACGTATAGGCACATTTTCAGAACTAGCTAGTCATCCTATGTAACTACTTTTTGTATTTTTAGTTTCTGATGCTTTCTCCTTAACCACTGAAGTGTCTAAATGCCATAATAGAAGCTGCAAGTCCCTCTCATACGCTGCAAATGAGGCCTTAGATATGTTCTCTAACCAGAAACTCTGGTGTTTGTGTTCAGCCCTGAAAGCTTTGCCTTTATTGCTGGGATTGATAGCCACATGTAGAAATAAAAAGGATATTGGATTAAAGAAAAATTATTTTAAGTAGAAACAAGGAAAAATTGAAAGCTAGTTTCACTTTGATTAACTAAATGAAGAAAGTACTTCCTTACACTTTAATTTTCCCAGTGCTATTTTGCAGATTGCAAACAAATATGGTGAATGCTGATGAGTCCTATGCAGAAACATGACAAAAATTGTGCAGATTCTGTAACTCCAAGCCTTGGTAGATTAACATCTACCTGTATTAATAGAGAATGGCCTTAGAAAAAGAATGTATCTATCTCCTTTGTAAATAATACTGTATTTTAATAATAATTACAAAGTATTGATTTTTTATAAAGCCCATTTCTGGCAAGATAGTGACATCTATGAGAAGCTTGTCTAAATTGAATAGATCGTTAAAACGAGGCTTGCTTTTGTAGCTCATTTGCACTGACCTGGGCCCTTTGTGAATCTTCTAGGTAGCAGAGAAGACAGAGTATGTTTGTCAGACTATTTCATGAAAGGAAACAAGAATAAACTATGCTGTGAGGACCAGAACTAATTAGATGGCTTCTAAGGTTTGTGGCATTCCTTAAACTGTGAATTAGAATAAACAGGGAACAAAACATTTCATTTTTTTCCTTAATAAATTAGAAAAAGTTTGTTGGTAAAAAAAATATGCTTCTATTTTATCTAATCCCTAAAGACAAGTGAAAATGGATTTCAAAAGTAATTTCTGGCTCTAGACTTCTCCAAACGACAGGGACGTTTACATTTAGGATCAGGTCAGTTTCTGGCCAAAAGGAGCTGAGGAGAAATATTCCCAATACAGACTAAAGAAAATCCCTAAATATAGAATGTTAAATTGAACAAGCATTTGACTTATGTTGTGGCCTTGGAGCAATTTATCTCCAAATCGGAAGTCCCCACAGCCTCCACTCTGCTGAATGTGCTTGGAAAGCGATCCAGTTGGAAAATGGACTTTCCTTCTCCCTGCCCCCAAATCCTTACCCGTGTCCCATTACTTTTACAGGAGCACATTCCCTCTCCGGTCTCAGGCAGGCTTCGTCTGTGACTCTGCTTTCCATACTGTAAACACTTCATTTGCAGTATCTTCCACAGGTTCTAGTGCTGCAGAACAAATTTGCTGGGCAGGAAAAAGGGTTGCAGATTTCAGGGCGTGCTGTGCAGTAAGCGGATTTTCTTGATGAAAACATCTGTAGTGCTATTGAGCCTGTGTGCAAATGGCACTTAATATGGATGCTGTGTCACACACAGGGCTGAGAGGTTGTTGGGTTTCTTTGCTGGTGTAAGCCCACCCCACACAGAATTTAAACTAGACTTCAACTGCAAATCCAAAGGTTACCTGGTGTACTGATGTGAGCACAGAATGTATCATCTAACATACTAACTCCCCTGCAATTGCCACAAAAAGCATACAGGGAGGGAGCAAAATCTTTCCATACTCATGAAATTCAGAGAGAGTTCCCCTCTAGAAGGAGAACAATTGGCTTGGTATGAAATATATTCTAATCCTAATTCAAATATCAGATCTACTAATGTTTTTGTGTCTTTGAAGGTCAGACATGAAACTTCCTCCTCATCGTTTCCTCCTGCCTTTGTTGCTTCATGGCAAAGGCATAGCCTTGCCTTGGTCTCTGGGCTACCTGTTTAGCTTTGTACAGCAGGACAGTAGCTGCAAATGAGAAGGAAATTCCTGGTAGAAAAAAACCCACACATGCAAACACATACACAAACTTGTGGGTGGGAAGAAATCCAGTAACTGTTCATTGTATTTGCAATTTCTTTCCTTTCAGTTGGAACTTCAAGAAGCTGAAACTACTCCACTGCCGTGACAGGGTCTCCTGCCGCATAGCTCTCAAAGCAGTTGCACACCAGTGCCACGGTGTGTCTGGGCAGTATGCTATGGGAACGTTAGGATACACTTTCCCTCAAAAAAATAACACAGAGGAAAGTGCCTGCATTTCCAGTCTGTCAAAAATTGCTTCTGCAGCACTTCTCCATTGCGCATAACAGAAGCATGAAACTTAACGGCAAGCAGAGCCAAGAGATACAGGGGCTTGCCAGGCTCCCGTGTTCAAAATGGTCATGTCTAACAGGACTACATACATTGGTCTAAAACAAAGCTACTGCACCTGTAGCGATCTGACATGCTTTTGACAAGTTAGAAAGGTTGGAAACAAAAATTAAAAGGCTAGACAGCTAAGTCTGAAAAATGAAGGTGAGCTTTTAATGATGGAAAATAATGGGAAATGAAGGTGTAATGCTGTTGGGTACTCAATTTACTCTTAAAATTTATTTGTAGAGATGTTTTCTGTGCAGGTTATTTGTATGCTGAAGTGTCTCACAAGATCATCTAGAACAATACATTTGCAGTTCAAAAGGTCTTCTCTTACAAGGACTGCATGTTCCACAATTTCAAAGGAAAAATAGTACTTTCAGTGCTCACGAAACAAAAACAAAACTCCAAGCTTCACCTTCTGTTTTTGTTTCTCACATAAAAAATAAACTTTGAAATCAAAACTATGAGCTATCATTTGTTCTGAAAGAGATGAGTAAATGAACTTATTCCATGTTGTTATTTATTGTCAAATGATCTCCAAAACAGCATAGACTCTATTAACATAAATTCCTATGTGAAAAGAAATCTAGCGATGAGCCTGTCAGAGCTAGCACAGGCTAATGATGACTTCTCTTTCAAGCAGTTTCTCAAATGTCGGCTGCCCTGTCTGCAACATTTTGAATTTGTAAGTCATCGACAGTCCCTATGTGAAGTGCTTGGAGCGGTTAAAAAAAAAAGTTACATTTTGCTAGACATCTATTATTTTTTAGCCAAACCCATACTATGTTTGCTTTTCTAGCTAACATAATACAGTCTGCCTCTCCATTTTGTATCAGCTGCTAAAACACATTAAGGTTTATGAAAGAAACATTGTACTGAAGTAAATGCCACCTTAGCTGTTTTTTAGTATGAAAAATAGAAATATCCATGTAGATAATTTGTGGTGCAATGGTATTTTCTAGCCATTGTTTGTTACTTGCTTTGTAAATAAATCATCAGTAGTTAAGCAAGGGAAAATGTACTTTGACGAATTTAAGTGTATTCTAAAATACAACTCTATGGAACCAGGGTTTTGTTTCTTTTTATTTGCAGCCAAAATGTATTTCTTATTTTCATTGTCAAAGTCTATGTAACAATGTGCTTTTAATGTGAAATTGTTTGTTTCTGCCATGGACTGCATAATAAAGATTGAAGACCAAATCCTTGCAAGTTGTAAATTAAAGTAGCATTTGAGATTCATCACTGTGTTGCAGCTAAATATGTAGCCCTAGATATCAGCTGAATACAAAACTAGATATAGCAGAAGTGCCTTAATTTTTTTTCCCTTTTCTGTTGAAAATTGCACTGTTCTGTCATAGGGATTTAATATTTAATTTTGTATTGGTTTAGCAGGATCTCCTCATAGTCATCATTAAGGTTTAAACCAGTGTCATCACCTTCCTAAGAGGTTTTGCATCTAGATTTTAAACAGCACAAGATAGGCACTTGGAAGGATTTGACATTGTTTTGCTCTGCACAGCAGTATTATTTAGGTAACTAGAAGAACACAGAACACACAAGAAATGCAAACGGATTAACGTCATACAACATCATTACTATCTGGCGGGTTCTGAGTAGTCTGCTGTGCTCACGTACAGCAGCCTTGCAAAATTGAAATACATTGAATAACTATTTGAAAAGTCTTAATTGATAGACCAGAAATATGTTTAACTAAACCTAAAATCGTAGTTTCATGACTAGTCCAAAGTTCATCACCTTTCACAGAATTTACATAATGAATTGAAACCATTATTTCTTCTGTACTTAGTATGGAATGCTCACAGGCAAAATTCAATGCCTTGCCAACAGACTGCCTGATATTTTTGAAGATATTTTCAGTTTCTGAAGTCCAATAATTAATTGAGCAACTTGACTGGAAATATTTTTAGCAGTAGTAATGTTGTTATAGTCTTGATGGTCTAAGGATATGGGAAAGCAAATTTTATTAGCAGAGCATTAGCAAAAATAAGTAAAATGTCTTACTTTTTACCAGAAGGCTTGAATGTTCATTGGTAGTGCTTTGCAGTAAGTAGCATATTGTTACACAACTTCTGTATCTGCATTATAAACCTTTAATAAAAATGTTTGTGTTTCTCATATATTTGCAACATATTGTATTCAAGTATACATTGATTATGTCATGCCATACATTAATAGCTTAGCTTTAAAAAATGCCATGAAATCAACTGATAACAACACAACGGCCTTGAAGGTTCTCAGATGACTTGACTGCTTTAAAGAATATGCTGTATTTTTTTATTTTAAATGGGAAGTCTCAGTCGTTCATTATTTTAAAAAATATTTTAAAAAGCATATGGGCAGAATTCAGTTTTGATCAAAATCGCAAGTGTCCCTCTCGCTGAAGGGGCTCAGCTCCAGGGCTCAGCCAGCGCAGGAGCCTGTCTCCGGCAACAGAAGGACAGGGTGGGCAGAGGGAAACTTTCCAGCTTCTGGCAGACAGAGGCTTCCCAGGCTCGTTCATATTAAATTAAATAGCCTGGGCATGTGGGCAGGCACTGGAACAAGCTTGCCTGTACTGCAGACCTGGAGGCAGGGTAGAGGCTGGTGCTGCTGCCTGGCTCCCTGCTGACCTGCGTGCTCCTGTGCAATTTTGGAGGCTAAAAGAATTTACTAGCGCTAAATGCAAGCTTCATTGTCCCAACGGGTCGTGGTGTCCTGACAATGTTACTAGGCACATTTTCTCTATTGTTGTAGAAATACTAATAATTTTTAAAAGACTTTGGTGTATTTTTCTTTATGGAGTGACTGGACAAATTCCTTAGTCTATAAAATGATAGACGTTGTTACCTAAAATGTCCTCTAGCAAGGAGTGCCATGGTTGGGTTGTGCTGAAATATTCATGTTTTGTTGATTTTAAAAGTTCTGCCAGACATTTTTGGGGGGCATAACTATTTTTTAAATTCAGGAGAGTGGGGGAAGTGAATAATGGCCATTTAGTATGACATTTGAGCGAGATGACATGAATATGACTATTCAGTAAGGAATAATCATGACAATTTTTATGCTCTTCTTCATTCTGGTCATGATTTTACATATTTTATTTTATAACTCCTCAGTTGTTTCTTCCCTAGCATGCTCATTGCCATTTTGAACACTGTTGAACACTGCATGTGTGTTTTCAGGGGACTTCCCACAATGACTCTTAAGATCTTTGGCCTAATCAGCAACACCTAATTTACTACCCACAGCTATACATATATGGTTGGGAGTTTTTTCCTACACACACACACATTGTTTGGTGTATATCAGCTTTGCATGCCATCCATCGTTTGATCCCCCAGTCATCCAATACCATGAGCTCTTTTTCACATCTGGCCTACCTTTGGCTATTTTAAATAACTGCGTGTTTTTATAAACATTATTACTTCACTGCATGCCCCTCTTAGGCGAAACATATGACAAAAAGGGACAGCAACTTTCCGAGACATCACTGAAAACCTCCCTTCCACTTGCTATTCATTCCTACTGTTTGTTTCCTGCCTTTCATCCAGTTACTAATTCATGAAAGATTTTTTTTCCTTTATATCATTATGCTCTGGTTTCTTTCAAAGCCTTTGGTGAGGTACAGTGTCTAACAGGTTTCTCAGAACTGATGCACACTGTATGTCAGCTGGATCACTTTTTTGCACATGCTCATCAGCTCCTCCAATGACCTCTGAAATGCTGGGTCACTTCTTCATTCTGTCATACTTGCCATGTATCTATCCATTCTGCTCTTCCACCTACCTGGCTTACTGAAAAACCAGAATTATCTGTCAGTAGCTCTCCTTTCCTTAGGCTCTTCTATTTTTGAAAATGTGAGGTTCCCAACTGCCACGTATTATTTTAGTTATAAAGTCAATGTTAAAGTGCATAATACAACACAGTTGGTATCTCAGCAATTTCATACCTGAGTTCTTTTAGAACCCTTGAGTGAATAACATCTAAACCTCACTATTTAATCCTATTGGAAAACCTGATTTAGTCTAAGCCACTTCAGCTAATACTTCATTCTGAGATGCCTCTTCAGGCTTCTTCTCCATGAAGGATGAACACAGAAACTCTCCTAAGTTCCTCTGTAATGAACTCTCATGTGAAGGATTGACACTTCTCATTTTCCACCGGATCTTTTATTTCCTAGTTATTTATTGGACCCTTGGCAGCCTTCCAGTCTGTCATGCTATGTTTACTCTAGATCTGAGTATTTGTTCGTATTACCAACATGTAACAGGAGTAGTCAAAGTAGCTAAATCCATAGCAAAAAAAGCTGACAGATCTGTGATCACTGTCAGTTAGACACCGCATCATTTGGAGAAATATCACAAATAACAGAGAAGTAACTCAGTATATCCAGAGATCCCTTCAATACATCATTTCTATTATTCTGTGATTGCGTAGTACAGCACTGAGGGCCTCAGTGAAGTTTTGGGTATAGAAGAAGCAAATGCTCTGTATTAATGGCCTTGCTTTATGTCCATTCTTCACCCACATTTCTCTGTCAATAGAAGTGAGATCAAGCAAGCCAGCAGGTGCTGAACACACTGCTCTCAGCCATTCCCAGCCTGCGTAAGCCCCCCGGAGCAGAACCATTGTTCTCAAGGAGCATATCAGCTGTCATTAGGAACTAGCCTAATGACACAAGGCAAGAGGATCCTGCAGAGAGAAAAAAGATGATACAAAACTGCATCAATCCCCAAGTTCCATTTGTTTCATAGACACCACCTGGTCAGAAAGTAAGAGAGCATCCAGACAGAGTAAACCATGTGTTGATGTCAAGAAAGGATGGGGAGGTAACATGAGAGAAACCACAGCAGGTTCGGTTCCCAAAGACACATTTGTATGTA